CATTTTTACGACTTTCCAATAGGCAAATTTGCGACTTTACCCTAATTAGCTACTATATAGACTGGGGACACGCGAAAAAAATCGTAAAATTGTGGGCACGTGCTGGGCTGAAGAATTTTGACACCATCTGTCGTGGCGGAACAGGCCCACGTCATAAATGTCGAACGCCAGAAAAGTTCATAAATATAATTTTTAAAGTTAAATGAAATGATTAGTGACGGCTGAGTGCGAAATATTTGCATCTCTCATTTGCCTGCAGGCGCGATAAAAATGCAATAAAATACGCGCCTGACAATAAAAAAGATTTCACTTTGATTTTACAGGGTTGACGAGTTGTTGACGGTCTGGAAAAACTGATGGAAATGGGTTGAAAGGGGTTGTCTCTGTTTCGGTAGGGAGGGTTAGGTTTCTGAGTTTCATGGCCTATTTAATGAATTGAAGAATATCACTTTAAGGTAAAACCTTTTGATTCAATACTTCTAATAAGCCAAATACTACTGCAACGTCCATTTAAGTTTGGGAAGTATCGCTTTCATTGATTTTGTGTTTTGGTTGCCTTTTCAAATTCTCAAAAACAATTTGTTTGGCCATATCCAACTAAACCACTAACTAGTTGGCATCGAAACCATGGCTCCCCACTCGTGCTGGTATAATTTGACATAATTTATGCAACGCTCGGCCAGTTAATCAAATTGCAGAGTGCTGGTAAAAATTCCTTTGGCCGCATGCATCCATGCAGTAGACGATATTGGGGGAAATTGCAATCAAATCAGCTGCCGGTCCGCAGGCCAATCTAATTCAATTTTCAAAACAAATTCATGTCATGCCCCGGACACACACCAGGCAAAACACAAATAGAACGTCACGCGCTCGGAAGCCGAAATTAAATTCCCGGCCAGAGTGAAAGGAAGAAAGAAAATGCCAAAAATGCATGCCGACACATGGGGCGAACAAAAAAATTGTCGAGTTTTGTTGGTCAGTTTTTGGTTTAGACAACGGAAGTTGAGGAACAGGCGACCAGCAGCAGGTGCCAAAACTGACGCCTGGCCAAATTGTCGGACAAAGGACTCACACCGGGCCAGGTGGAGTATCAACAGGACACCAAGGCAAAAAATATGTTTAAATTCGGGATTCTGTCGACTATGTTATACTTTGTACTTTAAAGTTTACCATTTGAGTATATTTAAATCTTTTGATTTTGTAAAAAAACCAATATAAAACCATAAGAACGATTAAGTTTTTAATATCATAGAACACAATAATTGAAAACTATCTAGTGCATCCTAAAGATACAACATACATCTACTACTGAGTATTTAAAAAATAAAAGAAATATCCAAAGCAAAGCTAAATAGAAATAAAATGAACTGGACCCTGAAGTCGAACAGTTGACGAATGTGCGGCAAACCGTCGGCTTGGCCACAGGTTGGTCAGACCTTGTTTTTGCCCCTGGGTGGGGCACAATATCCACATGTACGCTTTGGTGACTGGTTAAGAGTGTGGCACTTTGGAGTGGGCATCACAACATGCTGCGGTTACTTGGAGAGTGGCAAAGTGAAGTGGAGCTTATAAATCTCACACACCCACTCGTACAAAAAAAGGGGGAAAAACAACAATTGCAATGGCTGTGGCAGTGCAACAATGAAATACGCAAAATATTGACAGACCCACTGATCTGGGATGGGGAAAAAATAAAATGAAATGGCCGTGGTGAAAGCAGGATCTAAAGGAGAAAGGGAGTGTGGAAGTAACTCCATGGCAGTAGCTGCTACAATTAAAGTGAAAGAAAAATTAAGGAGAAATTAAGTATTTAGTACCTTCTAGTATTAGAAAGTTTATTATAAAATAAATATTATTCATAAATTCACAGTATCTTCAAAAAAATACCCAAATATTTGAATAGATTTATTTTTACAATTTATAGAGCACACCTCGTATTCCTCAAAAAGCCCACATACAACTGAAAAAGGCCGTGGTAGCTTGACACTGGGTCCTGAATCTATACCCTCTTATGTAATGCACTGGACAGCATCCTGGCAGCAGGACTCGACAACCTGTGACGCGTCATTTGGCCGGCCATGATTCTGAACAAAAGCGAACAAAGAAGTGGAGCCGCAGCTGCAATTTTGCTCGAATACTTCGGCTGGCATGAATAAAGCATTTTGGGGCTCCTGTGTGTGTGGAGAGTGCGCTTGTTATTAATCCGACATGATTGGCAGCAACGAAATGGACAACGGCCCAACCAAAAGGGACACAGGTGGATGCAAGCCAACGTCCTGTCATCGGTCCTCGAATTTTACGAAAAGAGACGCCCGCCGACAAATTTGTTAATTTATTATGCCAGAGCAACGCGACGGAAAGGCAACGATTTTGACCCGACTCCCTCAACGTCATTTAGCACACCCACACAAATGCAAATTAACACACCGATACCCACACAAGGATGCCAAAGATGATCTTTGGGGTTGTGGGGTGGGGACTTTCTATCCAGCTCATTTGGTCAGCAGCATGTCAAGTGGTTCCGACTAACGCAAATCTCATTTCGAAACAAGAAAGTTATGGGGCTTAAGGGTCACAACGAATTAGTTAACACTCTTTTCAGCAATGTCTCATTTGCGCGGAAAACAAAATGGATGCCATTACTGCTGTTCTTTTTATAGCATACTTTTTTGGGCATATATTGAGTTCTAGTTCAAAGAAATGTTTAAAGAATAAATCTTTATAAAATCATTAAGTATTATGTTTAAATATATATTTAAGTTGAAATAATAATATTTATCCTAAATATAAATTATATAAAAATATAAGCACAAAAAATAATAAGTTATTAATAACTAAAACCATTTTGTTTATATATACTATTTATATTTTTTTTACTAAACATTATTTTTGATGCTAGGACTTGTCGCATATCCTTTTAAAAAGTCAAAGGATTCATTCCCAATAGAGTGTGCTATGGGCAGCTGCAACTTTGTTGCACAGATTACCGTTTTGGGTCCGTGTGGTCAGAGTGTCCTTTTTAATAAAAGGTTGTCGCCAGAATATTGCAATGGCGATGGGGATGGCACGGCCACCTCCTGCTTCACTTGATCATACAAATTAAGCCCCCGTGTTCGGGTCTGTTCGGTTTGTTTGTTTGTTTGCCTGCAGGAGTCCAACACCACGGATGGAAAATGGACTGCGGCATCGTGTGACTTAAAAGTGAAATATTGCAATCAGTCAATGGATTTTACCGATTCGACGTCGTCCTCCTCCGGTGAGTAGGCTTCGATTTTAATTAAGGAATTAGGCAGAGTCGCAACGAACGTGAAATGAACAGACGACACTCTCGAAAAGCTCATTAGGGCGCAACTCCCTTTGCAGGACGAAGAATTGGATTGGAATTGGCCGGAAATGGGGAGGGACTACGGCAGGGATTGAGTGCATAACATTTAGTTAAAGGTGAAGATATTAAATAGTAGAAAGGGGCATTTTAAAGATGACTTTAAATAGAAAATTATTGTTCAGAAATAATTGGTTCGTACATGACCGTTTAAAATGACTTATTTGGAGACCTATACAAGTGACTAACCTTAACCCAAACAAATCAGAACAGACATCCCCAAAATTGACCAACAATACCTCAAATTACCTTTGATTAAACATTGGCCAAATGGATCATCAATAGCTTCGTGTTTAGCCAAAACTCCTGAGAGTGCATAAGCCCCAACATACACCCCAAGTGGCCTCAAACATTTGTTGAAAATATCCAACGTTTAATAATCGAACTGGGAGAAATGGGAAGAGAAAGTAGAGAAAGGGGTCCCAGGACAACGACAGCAACAGAAATTACACCAATGCTGAAAATTTTTGAAAGGCGAAAGGGTTGGAGTGCCACTTAGAAGCGGTGAGTTGCGAGCTACACAATAAATAAATACGAAATATATTTTTAAAATTAATTTAAGGACAATTTAAGTCAATTTATGAGCTCGTGAAAATTTATTTATAATTCTCATTAAGAATTTATTTGTAATATATAAATTATGTATAGATTTTTAAAGTGTAATTTGAAGTTCTGTAAAATAATGTGAGTTAGGTGGTAGGTGGTTTCCTGAGCAGAAGTAAAGGGGTTTGAGTAGCGAGTTTGTGTGGTTGGCACTCCCAAAGTGGCATTAGAGATTTATCAAGTGTAGCGTGACGTGGCATGGACTAAGTCACAGGATGCGCAATTCGCCATCCCACTCACCCCTTGCCCATTCCCACTACACACATGCCTCTACCTCCCGTGGACGGACACATTGCATTACGTGTAGCGTAACAAATGTACAAAAACACGTAACTCCATGGAAGGACAGGGCTTGGAAAGGAAGGATTCAGCTCCTGCCAACTGCAGGCAGAAGTGGAAACAGAGTCGGGACACTTTGACTATTAAGTAGCAGAGACACAGGACACAAAAGCAGTAGAAATTATGAGGTTTGCCAGTGCAATTGATACCCTAGAATTAATAAGAAACTTGATTAGGCTTTAAAAAGTGATAGTTCCTCAGTTTCAAGATCTCTATGTGGGTTTAAAAGGATTATCTATGATTTTATTTCATGTATTTATTCTATAAAAAATTATTTGATGGTGTTTATGAATAGTGGACTGTATTATGGTTTTTATTATAGTTTTATGCATTTATTTTCACTATTTAGCGGGTTTACAATACTTTAAGCGGGGTTGCTATCAGCGAGCGGTTGCGGTTAATATCAACAAGCGAAAGCGGCCGGCTTGCAAAACGTGCATAAAAAGAACAGAAAAACGATCGCGTGATGTTCTAATACTAACGCATTGCACTGCAATTTCGGCTATGCGTGTGAGCTTAAAGCTCCCAAATGGTTACAATACAATGATGTGCGCAAAAATAGGTACTATAGGTAATAGGTAAAAATAGGCAAAAGTAAAGAAGCAAATGTAATACTATTTAAATGCAACAAAAAGACGAACTATTTCCCAACATACCGGCCCCCCTGAACGACGGTTCAGTTCAAAGGAAGCACAGCAATTTTCGTAATAGGGCGCTTGTAGATTCCCTTGGCGGTTTTAACGGTGACCACCCGAACCCTCTGATCCTGGCCAGGATGAACTTCGGTGACTCGTCCTAGCATCCACTTGCTTGGCGGTTGATTGGGCTCCTTCAGCACAACCAGTGTGTCCACGGCAACATTTGGAGCATCTTGATGCCATTTCGTACGAGGTTGAAGCGTGCTGAGATACTCGAGATTCCAACGTTTCCAGAAACCTTGAACCTTGGCCTGTAGTTGTCTCCAGCGCTGCAGTCTGTTGATATTTACATCCAGGAAAGATGGTTCTGGTACCGAAGTGAGAGGCTGACCTGTTAGAAAATGAGAAGGAGTTAGCGGGTTAAGACTGTGATCGCTAGGTGCGCATAAAGGGCGAGAGTTCAGAAGCCCTTCAATCTGAATTAACAGGGTCGAATACTCCTCGAATGTCAAGGCACTGCTGCCAATGACTCGTTTTAAGTGCAGCTTTATGGATCTCACACCAGTCTCCCAAATGCCTCCGAAATGGGGAGCAGATGGCGGAATGAAATGCCAATTAATCTCGTGGCTGGCCATGAAGCTTGAAATTTCTTCATCTTGACTTTGAGCTATTGCCATTCGTTGCATTTCAGCTAAATCTCTTTTGGCTCCATGGAAAGTCGTTCCATTGTCCGAGTATAAATCCGATATAGGTCCACGTCGAGACCAAAAGCGTTTGAAAGCGGCTATAAAGGCGGATGTCGTCAAATCGCTGACCAATTCTATGTGAATCGCTTTTGTAGATAGGCAGACAAAGATCGCAAACCAAGCTTTGCCAAATCTTGGTGTCCGGCCTGTCGATGTTTTGATTGACACAGGTCCAGCATAATCCAATCCAGTGTGCAGAAAACAACGGGCGGGTTGAACTCGAAACTCCGGTAAATCAGCCATAAGTTGAGAACTCGTGTGTCTTCGCTGCAGAAAGCAAGTTCTGCAATTGAATACAGTTTTGCGGACGAGGTTCCGAGCTCCTAGAATCCAATACCTTTGGCGTAGACTATGAAACGTGTATTCGACTCCAGCGTGTAACAATGCAGCATGTTGATAGCGAACTAGCAGACCAGCTATTGGAGATTCCTTAGGAAGGAGAATGGGATGCTTTGCGTCATAAGTAGCTATAGAATTATCGATGCGACCACCAACACGCATTACTCTCTGCTCGTCTAAAAAGGGTGTGTAGCGGATCAACTTCGATTTCTTCGACAATGGCTGTCCGGTAGTTAACTGCTTGTACTCCACGTTGAAGAACTCCTCTTGAGCGTGCGCAAAAATCTTAGCTCGTGCATATTGTAGCTCCCACGCCGATAGGAATGGTGAAAGTCGATTCCTCTCACGAAGACGATGAACGAAGCGAAGGCAGTAGCTGACTATCCTTAATAAACGGGACCATGAGGAGGATTTGTTGATCATACAAGATAGCGAATTTCCGTCGTCGGAAATGTGTAGATTAACTTTCGTTTCAGCCTTCATCTCTAGGCAGGCCTCTTCTTCTGTCGACAGAACAAACTTAGCTTTAACAGGTGGCCAAGCTGAACGTGACTGAGATAGCCAAGGTGGTCCATTCCACCATATTTGATGATCCACGAGGTCCTTTGGCAGTACTCCTCGCGATGCGCAGTCTGCGGGATTATCACCACTTCGAATATGTTGCCAGCAGCTGCGTGGGCAAACCTCTAGAATTTCAGCAGTGCGGTTGCAAACATAGGTGTTCCAAGTCCTAGGCAGAGAAGATAGCCAATGCAGGACTATTTCAGAGTCTGACCAACAATTAATTCTGGAAATAGGAACAGTTAATGATTGCTTGACCAGATAAATCAGTTTAGAGAGTAAATGAGCTGCGTTTAACTCTAGTCGCGGAATGGAGATAGGCTTAATAGGGGCTACGTGAGTTTTAGCCATAATCAGTTTGACAGCATATCCATTGTTGACTTCGACGCGGCTATAGATGACGGCAGCATACGCTTGAGATGATGCATCAGCAAATCCGTGCAGTTCCATTTCTTGATGTGGTGCAGATATGTAGCGAGGAACTCGACAAGTTTCCAATAAATGCATTTCCGATGCAAACTGTTGCCATCGTGTACATATTTGCTGCGGTAGTACTTCATTCCAATCGACAGAACTTAGCCAACTATCTTGAAATAGGATCTTCAGAAAAACAACAGGTGGCGAAAGCAAACCCAGCGGGTCGTAGATCTTGGCTAGTTCTGAAAGCAATATGCGTTTAGTAAGAGCAGTCGTAAATGCGGGGGTTTCTAATTTGAAGAAAATATAGTCCGGTTTTGGTTCCCAACACAATCCCAGGACTTTAACAAATCGAATTGAGCGGTCTTCCTCTAAATCCTCTGGTGGATACTCACAAATCTCCTTTGGCAACGACTTTAAAAGGGCGTAACAGTTTGAGCTCCACTTTCGCAATTTGAATTGAGCTTCGCTAAGAAGCAGAATCAATTCATCTTTGAGTGCAATGAGATCCTTGATGTTGTCGCATCCAGTAGGAATATCATCAACGTACGCGTCTCTGTTGAGCACGACAGCAGCGGTGGGATACAATTCGGCATAGTCATTCGAGAGCTGTTTAAGAACTCGAACTGCAATAAACGGCGATGAAGATAATCCATATGTTACTGTCAACAGTCGATAATGATCCAGCGTAGCGTTTTCATCCCTTCCTCCAAACTATGCGTTGGTACTGTGTATGTTCGTCCGACACCAAAATGCCTCTAAACATCTTCTCGATGTCTGCACAAAATACATAACGATGCTGACGAAATCGAAGGCATACTCCAATTAAGTCCCGTTGAATAGGCGGTCCTATATGCAGTCGCGAATTAAGAGAATGACCCGTGGAATCCTTTCCAGAGCCGTCAAATACCACTCGGCAACGTGTGGTAGTACTATCTGGTTTAAAAACTGCATGGTGTGCCAAATAGTTGTAGCGTGCGGGATCCTCACCGCCTGCAGCAGCCGGAATCAATTCCATATGTCCTCGATTTAAATAATCATCCATGAAATCCACATATTGTTGTTTGAGTGCGGGGAATCTTCTAAATTTCCTTTCCAAAGCGGCGAAGCGGTTTAAAGCCTGTGGCAAAGTGGAGCCAATTGGCGTGCGGGGCTCCTTGAATGGGTATTGAACAATATAAACACCATCTTCTCTACGAGCATGTGTTTTCAGAAAATGTTGTTCGGCGGGATCACTGGCGTCTATCGTTGTTTTACTCGGATGCACTTGTTCCATGTCCATAAATGAGCGAACTAAGGAATCCAAATCTTCATAAGCGTGATGAACTTGTGCGTGCGTAGATGCTTTGTTACCATCAGTGTAGCTGCCTGTAATAACCCAACCAAAATTAGTATGCAGTGCGATGGGGTATTCGATACCAAACTCTCGGCGATGTCCAGTATATAAGTTCCACAGCTGATCAGCGCCTAAGATAACGTCGATTTTGCCCGGAGATCCAAACGTCGGGTCAGCTAGCGGTAGGCTGCGAATCTTGGTCCAAATAGTTGCATTTGATTTGACCTGCTGAGCTGGAATCGTAGAAGTTAGAGAACTCATAATTAGACAAGAGACTTCCAATGATGCAGTCGTGGTTCTTGAGAGTAAGGTGAAGCTAGCGCGACCTCGGCTAACACCAGCCGGGTTAGCACCTAAACCAACTACCGAAATGCGGGCATGCGTGCGAGGAATTCCGATCCTTTGGATAAACGACTCAGATACCATGGTTATTGTTGATCCAGTATCGAGCAATAACCTACACGAGGTCTCGTTTCCCCATGTGTCAATAACATTGGCGACAACAGTTGGCAGTAGGGCTGGATTGTTGGCCCTCTCCAAAATATGATGGCTAACAGCGGCAGTATTCGTATCAGCGGCAGTCGAGTGCGCAGGTGCCACAGGAACCGATCTTGCTTCAATCGGGTGTACTAACGTGTGATGCTTAGCGTTGCATTGACGGCAAGTGTTCGATGAATTACAATCCCTGACTTGATGCGATCGACTCAAGCAGTTGAAGCATAATTTTGTATCCTTGGCGAAGGTGCGGCGGCTGACTACATCCAGTGCCTTGAATTCATTGCATGAATATATAGAATGCTGTCCTTGGCAATATATACATTCGCGAGACGACTGAGTTGATCCACTGGCATGAAAAGCGGCTTGGCGGCGTCTACTCTGGGCTGGTCTTGAGGGTTGCATTGCGGGTAAATCCTGACAAGACTCCAAAGTATCACAATGAGCGAAAAGAAAGGCGAACAGCTCCTCTATGGTGACGTCTTCAGTGGCCGATAAACTGCAGTTGGCCCAAGCTTGTTTAATTTCTGAACCTAACTTTGACAGCAAAATATGAATGAGCCATACATCGCGGCTGTCACAGTTCAGCGCATGTAAGCCTCGAATGCATTCGTCGGCCGAGTCAATTACCTTGCGTAATTCTGCAATATTCGAATTGTTAGCGGTTGGCAACGATAAAAAATTCTGAACAAACGATCGAGCGATGAGCGACCTTTTATTATAACGATTTTCTAATTTTTCCCATGCGTCTTGGTAATTATCATTACAGACGGCAATATGTTTAATTAGGGACAGTGCTTCTCCCTCCAGATATGATTTGAGATAATGAAACTTTTGGCACTTGGAGAGCTTTTCGTTACTATTTACTGAGCTTAAGAACAGATCACTAAACTGGCTCCAATCCTCATATTTACCAGAAAATGTGGGAATCCGAATTTTCTCAAACCTTAAATCAGCAGTTCCCGATGAAGTATGAATTTTCTCCAAAAGGTTGTTTTGTCCCTCAAATAGGCGTTCCACTGTACTTGAAAGTAGAATGTTCGACTGGTCCTGTCCATGATCCTGACCTCCCATGTCCTTGATGGCGTTACTAAAAATAACATGCGCGGCGTAGAACTTGTCTTCGTATTCGGGTATGTCCAATCCAGGGTCTTCATATCCCTCCTCCAAGTGAAATTCCACTAACTCATCTGAGAGCTCCATAAAGTGGTTGAAAGTGGCGACCAAACGCTCCAGCTTGAATTGCAATGTTTCCACATTCTCACATCTTTGTGAAAACTCCACAGCACTGTTGAGGGTGCGCGTTATTTGCCCCTTGCAGGCACCACGTTGTTGAATCGTTCTATGCATTATCGCGTTCATGACGAAAAAACGGTAAATTTGTCTCTAATGTTCACAAAAGTAAATGCACAAATAAACGCGGGTATCCGGCTCGAACGGACCAAATTTTGTTATGTTTATGAATAGTGGACTGTATTATGGTTTTTATTATAGTTTTATGCATTTATTTTCACTATTTAGCGGGTTTACAATACTTTAAGCGGGGTTGCTATCAGCGAGCGGTTGCGGTTAATATCAACAAGCGAAAGCGGCCGGCTTGCAAAACGTGCATAAAAAGAACAGAAAAACGATCGCGTGATGTTCTAATACTAACGCATTGCACTGCAATTTCGGCTATGCGTGTGAGCTTAAAGCTCCCAAATGGTTACAATACAATGATGTGCGCAAAAATAGGTACTATAGGTAATAGGTAAAAATAGGCAAAAGTAAAGAAGCAAATGTAATACTATTTAAATGCAACAAAAAGACGAACTATTTCCCAACATACCGGCCCCCTGAACGACGGTTCAGTTCAAAGGAAGCACAGCAATTTTCGTAATAGGGCGCTTGTAGATTCCCTTGGCGGTTTTAACGGTGACCACCCGAACCCTCTGATCCTGGCCAGGATGAACTTCGGTGACTCGTCCTAGCATCCACTTGCTTGGCGGTTGATTGGGCTCCTTCAGCACAACCAGTGTGTCCACGGCAACATTTGGAGCATCTTGATGCCATTTCGTACGAGGTTGAAGCGTGCTGAGATACTCGAGATTCCAACGTTTCCAGAAACCTTGAACCTTGGCCTGTAGTTGTCTCCAGCGCTGCAGTCTGTTGATATTTACATCCAGGAAAGATGGTTCTGGTACCGAAGTGAGAGGCTGACCTGTTAGAAAATGAGAAGGAGTTAGCGGGTTAAGACTGTGATCGCTAGGTGCGCATAAAGGGCGAGAGTTCAGAAGCCCTTCAATCTGAATTAACAGGGTCGAATACTCCTCGAATGTCAAGGCACTGCTGCCAATGACTCGTTTTAAGTGCAGCTTTATGGATCTCACACCAGTCTCCCAAATGCCTCCGAAATGGGGAGCAGATGGCGGAATGAAATGCCAATTAATCTCGTGGCTGGCCATGAAGCTTGAAATTTCTTCATCTTGACTTTGAGCTATTGCCATTCGTTGCATTTCAGCTAAATCTCTTTTGGCTCCATGGAAAGTCGTTCCATTGTCCGAGTATAAATCCGATATAGGTCCACGTCGAGACCAAAAGCGTTTGAAAGCGGCTATAAAGGCGGATGTCGTCAAATCGCTGACCAATTCTATGTGAATCGCTTTTGTAGATAGGCAGACAAAGATCGCAAACCAAGCTTTGCCAAATCTTGGTGTCCGGCCTGTCGATGTTTTGATTGACACAGGTCCAGCATAATCCAATCCAGTGTGCAGAAAACAACGGGCGGGTTGAACTCGAAACTCCGGTAAATCAGCCATAAGTTGAGAACTCGTGTGTCTTCGCTGCAGAAAGCAAGTTCTGCAATTGAATACAGTTTTGCGGACGAGGTTCCGAGCTCCTAGAATCCAATACCTTTGGCGTAGACTATGAAACGTGTATTCGACTCCAGCGTGTAACAATGCAGCATGTTGATAGCGAACTAGCAGACCAGCTATTGGAGATTCCTTAGGAAGGAGAATGGGATGCTTTGCGTCATAAGTAGCTATAGAATTATCGATGCGACCACCAACACGCATTACTCTCTGCTCGTCTAAAAAGGGTGTGTAGCGGATCAACTTCGATTTCTTCGACAATGGCTGTCCGGTAGTTAACTGCTTGTACTCCACGTTGAAGAACTCCTCTTGAGCGTGCGCAAAAATCTTAGCTCGTGCATATTGTAGCTCCCACGCCGATAGGAATGGTGAAAGTCGATTCCTCTCACGAAGACGATGAACGAAGCGAAGGCAGTAGCTGACTATCCTTAATAAACGGGACCATGAGGAGGATTTGTTGATCATACAAGATAGCGAATTTCCGTCGTCGGAAATGTGTAGATTAACTTTCGTTTCAGCCTTCATCTCTAGGCAGGCCTCTTCTTCTGTCGACAGAACAAACTTAGCTTTAACAGGTGGCCAAGCTGAACGTGACTGAGATAGCCAAGGTGGTCCATTCCACCATATTTGATGATCCACGAGGTCCTTTGGCAGTACTCCTCGCGATGCGCAGTCTGCGGGATTATCACCACTTCGAATATGTTGCCAGCAGCTGCGTGGGCAAACCTCTAGAATTTCAGCAGTGCGGTTGCAAACATAGGTGTTCCAAGTCCTAGGCAGAGAAGATAGCCAATGCAGGACTATTTCAGAGTCTGACCAACAATTAATTCTGGAAATAGGAACAGTTAATGATTGCTTGACCAGATAAATCAGTTTAGAGAGTAAATGAGCTGCGTTTAACTCTAGTCGCGGAATGGAGATAGGCTTAATAGGGGCTACGTGAGTTTTAGCCATAATCAGTTTGACAGCATATCCATTGTTGACTTCGACGCGGCTATAGATGACGGCAGCATACGCTTGAGATGATGCATCAGCAAATCCGTGCAGTTCCATTTCTTGATGTGGTGCAGATATGTAGCGAGGAACTCGACAAGTTTCCAATAAATGCATTTCCGATGCAAACTGTTGCCATCGTGTACATATTTGCTGCGGTAGTACTTCATTCCAATCGACAGAACTTAGCCAACTATCTTGAAATAGGATCTTCAGAAAAACAACAGGTGGCGAAAGCAAACCCAGCGGGTCGTAGATCTTGGCTAGTTCTGAAAGCAATATGCGTTTAGTAAGAGCAGTCGTAAATGCGGGGGTTTCTAATTTGAAGAAAATATAGTCCGGTTTTGGTTCCCAACACAATCCCAGGACTTTAACAAATCGAATTGAGCGGTCTTCCTCTAAATCCTCTGGTGGATACTCACAAATCTCCTTTGGCAACGACTTTAAAAGGGCGTAACAGTTTGAGCTCCACTTTCGCAATTTGAATTGAGCTTCGCTAAGAAGCAGAATCAATTCATCTTTGAGTGCAATGAGATCCTTGATGTTGTCGCATCCAGTAGGAATATCATCAACGTACGCGTCTCTGTTGAGCACGACAGCAGCGGTGGGATACAATTCGGCATAGTCATTCGAGAGCTGTTTAAGAACTCGAACTGCAATAAACGGCGATGAAGATAATCCATATGTTACTGTCAACAGTCGATAATGATCCAGCGTAGCGTTTTCATCCTTCCTCCAAACTATGCGTTGGTACTGTGTATGTTCGTCCGACACCAAAATGCCTCTAAACATCTTCTCGATGTCTGCACAAAATACATAACGATGCTGACGAAATCGAAGGCATACTCCAATTAAGTCCCGTTGAATAGGCGGTCCTATATGCAGTCGCGAATTAAGAGAATGACCCGTGGAATCCTTTCCAGAGCCGTCAAATACCACTCGGCAACGTGTGGTAGTACTATCTGGTTTAAAAACTGCATGGTGTGCCAAATAGTTGTAGCGTGCGGGATCCTCACCGCCTGCAGCAGCCGGAATCAATTCCATATGTCCTCGATTTAAATAATCATCCATGAAATCCACATATTGTTGTTTGAGTGCGGGGAATCTTCTAAATTTCCTTTCCAAAGCGGCGAAGCGGTTTAAAGCCTGTGGCAAAGTGGAGCCAATTGGCGTGCGGGGCTCCTTGAATGGGTATTGAACAATATAAACACCATCTTCTCTACGAGCATGTGTTTTCAGAAAATGTTGTTCGGCGGGATCACTGGCGTCTATCGTTGTTTTACTCGGATGCACTTGTTCCATGTCCATAAATGAGCGAACTAAGGAATCCAAATCTTCATAAGCGTGATGAACTTGTGCGTGCGTAGATGCTTTGTTACCATCAGTGTAGCTGCCTGTAATAACCCAACCAAAATTAGTATGCAGTGCGATGGGGTATTCGATACCAAACTCTCGGCAATGTCCAGTATATAAGTTCCACAGCTGATCAGCGCCTAAGATAACGTCGATTTTGCCCGGAGATCCAAACGTCGGGTCAGCTAGCGGTAGGCTGCGAATCTTGGTCCAAATAGTTGCATTTGATTTGACCTGCTGAGCTGGAATCGTAGAAGTTAGAGAACTCATAATTAGACAAGAGACTTCCAATGATGCAGTCGTGGTTCTTGAGAGTAAGGTGAAGCTAGCGCGACCTCGGCTAACACCAGCCGGGTTAGCACCTAAACCAACTACCGAAATGCGGGCATGCGTGCGAGGAATTCCGATCCTTTGGATAAACGACTCAGATACCATGGTTATTGTTGATCCAGTATCGAGCAATAACCTACACGAGGTCTCGTTTCCCCATGTGTCAATAACATTGGCGACAACAGTTGGCAGTAGGGCTGGATTGTTGGCCCTCTCCAAAATATGATGGCTAACAGCGGCAGTATTCGTATCAGCGGCAGTCGAGTGCGCAGGTGCCACAGGAACCGATCTTGCTTCAATCGGGTGTACTAACGTGTGATGCTTAGCGTTGCATTGACGGCAAGTGTTCGATGAATTACAATCCCTGACTTGATGCGATCGACTCAAGCAGTTGAAGCATAATTTTGTATCCTTGGCGAAGGTGCGGCGGCTGACTACATCCAGTGCCTTGAATTCATTGCATGAATATATAGAATGCTGTCCTTGGCAATATATACATTCGCGAGACGACTGAGTTGATCCACTGGCATGAAAAGCGGCTTGGCGGCGTCTACTCTGGGCTGGTCTTGAGGGTTGCATTGCGGGTAAATCCTGACAAGACTCCAAAGTATCACAATGAGCGAAAAGAAAGGCGAACAGCTCCTCTATGGTGACGTCTTCAGTGGCCGATAAACTGCAGTTGGCCCAAGCTTGTTTAATTTCTGAACCTAACTTTGACAGCAAAATATGAATGAGCCATACATCGCGGCTGTCACAGTTCAGCGCATGTAAGCCTCGAATGCATTCGTCGGCCGAGTCAATTACCTTGCGTAATTCTGCAAT